ATATTCAAGGTCACTAGCAATCAGGGAAATGCTAATCAAAACCACAGTGAGGTTTCACCTCACCCCAGTTAGAATGGCTCACATACAGAAATCTACCAACAACAGATGCTGGCGAGGATGTGGGGAAAAAGGGACACTAACCCACTGTTGGTGGGAATGCAAACTGGTCAACCCACTATGGAAGTCAGTCTGGAGATTCCTCAGAAACCTGAATATAACCCTACTGTCGACCCAGCCATCTCACTCCTTGGAATTTACCCAAAGGAGTTTAAATTGGCAAACAAAAATGCGGTCTGCACCCTAATGTTTATCGCAGCACAATTCATAATAGCCAAGACCTGGAACCAACCTAAATGCCCATCAATGGTAGACTGGATAAAGAAATTATGGGATATGTATTCTTTAGAATACTATACCGCAGTAAGAAACAATGAAATCCAGTGAAATCCAGTCATTTGCAACAAAATGGAGGAATCTGGAACACATCATGCTGAGTGAAGTAAGCCAGTCCCAAAGGGACAAATACCATATGTTCTCCCTGATCAGTGACAACTGACTGAACACCAAAAAGGAAACATCCTGAAGTGAAATGGACACTATGAGAAATGGTGACTTGATCAGCATAGCCCTGACTGTTAATGAACAACTTAATACATTATCCCTCTTAGTATTTTTTGTCTGTTCTATTTAATATGACCGGTTTAATTCTGTAATTATCACACAGTTATTCTTAAGTGTTGAAAATTAACTGAAATGCGATCCCTGTTAAACATAAGAGTGCGAATAAGAGAGGGAAGAGATGTATTATTTGGGACATGCTCAAGCTGACTTGTCCCAAATGGTAGAGTTAGAAACATACCAGGGGATTCCAATTTAATCCCATCAAGGTGGCATGTAGCAATGCCATCTCACTATTCCAAGTGATCAATTTCAGTTCACAATTGATCATAATGAAAGGACTAAGAGTGAAAGGGAGCACATAAACAAGTCTAGTACCTGCTATCACTAACCGATAGAATAAATAAAGGGGAGAGTGATCCAACATGGGAAGCGAGATACTCAGCAGACTCATAGAATGGCGGATGTCCTAAATAGCACTCTGGTCTCAGAATCAGCCCTTAAGGCATTCGGATCTGGATGAAATGCCCATGAGAGTATTTCAGGCCTGGAAAGCCAAGACACTCTGGCAAAAAGATCTCTGTGAGTGAGATCCCAGTGGAAAGAACAGGTCTTCAAAGAAGGAGGTACCTTTTTGAAGGGAGGAGAGAACCTCAATTTTTATTATGACCTTATCTAAAGAAGATAAGTGTCGGAGAACTCAGAGGGCTTCCATAGCCTTGGAAACTCATGACTGGAGCATAGGGAGATTACTGATGCCATAGACAGGAGTGTCAATTTGTAAAGTCAACAACAGGAGTCACTGTGCACTTACTCCTCATGTAGGATCTCTGTCCTTAACGTGCTGTACATTGAGATTTAATGCTATAACGAGTACTCAAACAATATATTTCACTTTGTGTTTCTATGGGGGTGCAAACTGTTGAAATCTTTACTTAATGCATACTAAACTGATCTTCTGTAAAAAAAAAAGATATTATCAAATCCCAACCTGACTCTAACTGGGATTAAACATGACAATAGGTCTGATCTAATTTCATCATCATTTAAAAAAATCATCTATTATTTTTCACTTTATGTTTCTGTGTGTGAGCAAACTGTTGAAATCCTTACTCAATGTACACTAAGCTGATCTTCTGTATATTAAGATAATCGAAAATGAATCTTGATGTGAATGGAAGGGGAGAGGGAGTGGGAAAGGGGAGGGTTGTGGGTGTGAGGGACGGTATGGGGGTAAGCCATTGTAATCCATAAGTCGTACTTTGGAAATTTATATTCATTAAATAAAAGCTAAAAAAAAAGAAATAGTTCCACTAAAACACTTTGAAAATTGATCACTATCTATGATTTAAACTCATTATGAAGCTAAATTAGCACTAGCTTTTTAAGCTAGAGAATGATATATAATGAAATGCCACAACTTGATACATCCACATGACTAATCACTACTATTGCTATAATTCTCTCACTATTTGCCCTAATCCAACTTAAGTTTCATAAGTACACCTACCCTATGAACCCCATGCTAAAGGCATTTTAGTCCACTTCTTTCCCCTCCCCATGAGAAACAAAATGAATGAAAATTTATTTTCCTCTCCCATTACCCCTAGAATAATAGGAGTTCCAATCGTAGTGCTAATTATTATATTTCCAACCCTATTATCTCCTACCCCTACTCACCTTATGAATAATTGGTTAGTTTCATTTCAACAGTGATTAGCCCAACTAATTCTCAAGCAAATAATAACAATGCATTCCCCTAAAGGACAGACTTGGTCCTTAATATTAATTTCTCTAATTATATTTATTGGCTCACCAATCTCCTAGGCCTACTACCCCACTCATTTACACCAACGACCTAGCTGTCAATAAACTTAGGGATGGCTATCCCACTATGAGCAGGGGCTGTAATCACAGGATTCCACTACAAGACCAAAGCATCAGCCGGTGCCGTGGCTCAATAGGCTAATCCTCCACCTTGCGGCGCCGGCAAACCGGGTTCTAGTCCCGGTTGGGGCGCCGGATTCTGTCCCGGTTGCCCCTCTTCCAGGCCAGCTCTCTGCTATGGCCAGGGACTGCAGTGGAGGATGGCCCAGGTGCTTGGGCCCTGCACCCCATGGGAGACCAGGAAAAGCACCTGGCTCCTGGCTCCTGCCAGGATCAGCGCGGCCATTGGAGGGTGAACCAGCGGCAAAGGAAGACCTTTCTCTCTCTGTCTCTCTCTCTCACTGTCCACTCTGCCTGTCAAAAAAAAAAAAAAAAAAAAGACCAAAGCATCACTAGCTCATTTCCTCCCACAGCATATCCCTACCCCCTTATCCCCATACTAGTAATTATTGAAACAATTAGTCTCTTTATTCAACCATAGTTCTAGCCATACGACTTACAGCTAACATCGCAGCAGGTCACCTACTTATACATCTCATTGGAGGCACAGCGCTTGCCCTAACTCAATTAGTCCTACAGCAGCTGAAATCACCCTTATTATTCTTATCCTCCTCACAATCCTAGAATCTGCCGTAGCCTTGATCCAAGCCTACGTCTTCACACTTCTTGTAAGCCTATATCTACACGATAATACCTAATGACACACCAAATTCATGCTTATCATATAGTTAAACCAAGCTTATAACCACTTACCGGAGCCCTATACATCCTTCTCAACATCAGGCTTAACCATATGGTTTCACTTTAATTCCCCTACACTTCTCCTGATTGCTCTATTAACAAATACACTCACTATATATCAATGATGATGAGACATCTCATGAGAAGGCACATTCCAAGGCCATCATACTCCCATTGTACAAAAAGGCCTACAATATGGAATGATCCTATTCATTGTCTCAGAAGTCTTTTTCTTTGCAGGCTTCTTCTGAGCCTTCTACCACTCGAGCTTAGCCCCTACCCCAGAACTAGGAGGCTGCTGACCTCCAACAGGCATTAACCACCTGAACCCCCTTGAAGTACCCCTACTTAACACCTCAGTCCTCCTGGCCTCAGGAATTTCAATTACTTGGGCTTGCCACAGCTTAATACAAGGAAATTGTGAAAACATGCAACACGCCTTGGCTATCACTATCCTTCTAGGCATTTATTTTACCCTCCTCCAAGCATCCAAATACTATGAAGCATCATTTAATATTTCAGATGGAGTATATGGCTCAACAAATTTCAGAGCCACAGGATTTCACGGCCTTCATGTGATTACTGGGTCCACTTTCCTTATGGTTTGCCTCCTATGACAATTTAATTTCCACTTCACATCAAATCGTCACTTTGGCTTTGTAGCAGTGGCATGATACATTTTGTTGATGTAGTCTGACTATTCCTATATGTATCAATTTATTGATGAGGGTCTTACTCTTTTAGTATTAATTAGTACATCTGACTTCCAATCAGTTAGTTTTGGTATAACCCAAAAAAGAGTAATTAACCTAATTCTAGCTTTATTAATTAATGTAACCATTTCATTAATTCTAGTGACCATTGCATTTTGACTGCCACAACTAAATATTTACTCAGAAAAATCAAGCCCCTATGAATGTGGGTTCAACCCCATAGGATCAGCGCACCTCCCCTTCTCAATAAAATTTTTCCTAGTAGCCATTATGTTCTTGCTATTTGATCTATAGTGTGTGTGTGTGTGTGTGTGTGTATATATATATATATATATATATAATATATATACTTGTATTTTGCACAAAACAGAAACCTTAGACCCAAGGATTATCATCAGTCCTGACATGGCTGCATGAAATCCCCAAATTCCTTGAAATGTTATTGTTTTCCTACTTGACATTTTAATGATTATCCAAATGTGTTAATTTTAATAAACTAAAAGTATGTGCTATTTAGGAACTTCATATCCTACCATTATTCTGTTGGTACATAAATGTTGCTGGTGGTGATGGCCTCAGCTGCTGTGGTGTAGGCTGTGGGACTTAAGGTGGGGGAAATTCTCCTTGATTTGAGGAATGCATCAGTCAGGGTCTGTGGATACATAGGAGAGAATGATAGTATGAACTGTGGTACTTGCATCAAAGTGGTATGGACACATGACATTGTCTGCAGCACAATGTGAATTTTATGAATCCCATTGTCTTTCACCACCTGAGACATATAACCAGAAGGAAGGTATATAGGTGGCAGAGTACCACTTGGTGACATCAGAGGTACATAGGCAGCCTGTTAAATATTCTGAATGTTCCCATCTTTAGGGTTGATAGCAAGAGTCTCCCCAGGAATAACTTGTACCAATATAATATGTTGTATCCAGTATTGAGGAAAGGAAGGACATCTGGCATCTTTCTTGGGATGTCATCGTTTGTGAATAATTAGTAGTATGCTGGGTTGCAATGGTGGTGTTCACATGATAGCTCTCCATGTCCTCAAATGAGCCCCAGCAGCCTTATAACCTCCATTCACTTGTTCATAAAATGATTCTCCACATGACAGAGCTGAACAGCAACCAATGGCCAAGCCCTGCAGGAATATAAACAAATAACATGTAGTCATATGTATTTTGTGTGTGAGATAAGCAGAGGGTTTATCTTCTGGGCATCTGTTTCAAAGTGTGAGATGTTTGACTTCCTCCAAAATCTTTTTCAGCAGACTGGCTTACATGAGGCCCAGTAAGCAGGTGACTGCTTCCTGCTTCTGCCACACAACCCAAGCCAAGCCCTGTTCTGGTGGTATCCTGAAGTGGCCCAATGGCAGAGTCAAATCTGAGGCACTAGGCCAGGTAAGTTCAGAGCTGGAATGGGACAGGGGATGGAACGGGACACTCAGTCACAAAGTAAGGTCATGACAGGAGGTATTTTCAGTAAAACAGTGCACAAAATATATGCCACTAGGGACAACAGAGGACAGAGTGGGTTTTTTAAATGCCTATTTGTTTACATTTCCTTGAAACACCAACTGACAGTGAGGTAGAGAAAGAGACAGAGAGAGAGTTCCAGATGCCAATTTTCTCCCCCAAAGGACAACGAGGACCAAGCCAGGCTGAAGCCAGAAGCCTGGAACTCCATGTGAGTACTCAAGGTACATTACAGGGGTCAGGGGTGTGCATCAGAAGAAGATAAGCCAGATGTGAAGCTGGATCTCTGAAAACTCCACATGAGCATAAAAACATTGCATAGGTTTTCTTGGGAAGAAAGGCAGAAAGAATGTCACACCACAGGGCTGGACACAAAGAAGGGAATTCTGAAGTACTTGTTCCAGACAAATAATGTGTTCAACAGTGCTCCTTCCAAATGGAAAGGCACATGGAATCAAACATGTCCACTGCAACCGAGTGAGGAAAAGCATTACCAAGTACATAATGAGGAAGAAGCACAGGCTTAGGGTCAGTGTTGGAAGGCTTTTAAGCTAGTTTTGTTCCTTGCTACCTAGCAGTCCTAGTGCGGTTTCCTTTAAAATGCCCTGTTTTAAATACAGTATGTGGATCAACAAGGTCACCAAAATATATAAAAAAATGGAATATCCCAGAAACACACACAGAAAAAAGAAAATAGAGAGTCATTGAATATTGAATGGTTGTGAAAATCACACTGAGTGACAGAGAGCCAAAGGACTGTTCTATGTGGATTGTTCTAAAAATCATATTGGAAAAATCATTTGGAATGTTTGCACAGATGAAATATATCAATACTGAAATATATCAATGGCATTTTTTGAGTGTGGGACATTGAAATACCACTAATTAATGGTATTTTATGACAGATGAAGAGGGATCCACTACACAGAAACAGAAAGGAAATTGAAGATTTCAGGGGGTAATGCAGAGTAGATGAATGGGTGTGAAAAACTCCAAGTTACTGAGAATATGAACAGGAAAAGATCATGCTCTCTATATTGTTGCATAATAAGATCATTATAAAATGGATATCAATGTTTTGACAGAAGGGAAACAGTCTAGATTTGTGTGTGTTTGGATGTGTGTGTGTGTGTGCACATGCGTGCATGCATGCATGTATGTGCGCTCATGTTGACAGTAGGCAGAGGAGTTTTGGGATATGGGTTCCTAACTTCAAGATAAGGTAACTTCTGATTCTTTTGCAAATCATTTATAGCCCATTATTGATGCATGTGAGTATCAGCAATAAAGCAAGTCCCACCTGTGTGGTATGAGGGAAAGATATTCTGTGGTGGGATCCAAGGTGGGCAACTCTACAACATAGAGGCTAACATGACACCAGGCTTATGTCACACAGAAGGCTACATTATAGTCCCCAAAGACTGATGGGTGAGATATCAGGGCAGAAGGTTAATAAAGAGAAGTATGTGGGTGCAGTAGAGTGTAGAATATGTTTTGAAAGATTTCATGTCAGCTCATGTAAGCAAATATTGGGAAGCTGTCCTCAAATCAGGTTTAAAGGAGGCATCCTGTGGAGCTGTACTCAATGCATAGAATCAGAGTTGTTCCATACAATGCATGTTTCAAGTGCATTCCTCCCTGATATAAGTATGTCCTGAACTATACTTGTTCTTCACAATTGTGTGAGGAAAGAAACAAGTGGAGTACATAGTGAGAAAGGACACACATGAATTGATGTTTAGGGGTTTGTGAAACCAGAGCTGGCTCACCCCTTCATAGAAGTTGTACTGGTACTAGCATTAAAATAACCTCTTTTTAAACATATTTATTTCAGAAAGAGAACACATTTCATGTAGTTCATATATACAATTTTAAACCTGCAATGATTCTTCCCACTTTCACTGACTCCTGCTTTCCCTCCCTCCCTCCTCCTGCCTTTTTCCTTTCAATATTATTTATTTTTTGAAAGCAAGAGTTAGGAAGAGAGAGAGAAAGAGAGATCTGCCATCTAATGGGTCACTTCCCCGATGGCCACCATGGCCAGGCTGGGCCATGCCAAATGCAGGAGCCAGGAGTTTCATCCAGGTCCCCTACATGGGATATCACAGTCCAAACACTTGAGCTAATCTCTGCTGGTTTTCCCAGGCCTTTAGCAGTTGTTGCACACAGGACATAAACCAGAACCCATGTGTGATGCTGGTGGCCACACAACACTGAACCCCATACATTCAATTCACTTCATGCTCATCAGTTTAATTCTGTACTAAATTAAGAATTCAACAAGAAAAATACAAACACCACTGTTGTACAAAAGTAGATAAGGATTATTAAAAAAATATCAAATATAAAGCTGTCAGTTTCACTCATATACATTAAAATGGGGGTTACAGATGACCCTTTCATATGCTGATTTAATTTCCTTTGGATAAATTCCCAAGGGTGCAATGACTGGGTCAAATGGTAGATCTATTTTCAGATTTTTGAAGAATCCCCATACTGTCTTCCACAATGGCTGTACTAGTATACATTCCCACCAACAGTGGACTAGGTACCTTTTCTCCCGCATATTCACAAGCACTTTTTCTTTTTCCTTTTAAGTTTTGGTTGATAGCCATTCTAACTTAGGTGATAAGAAATTGCTTGTTTCATTGAGTACAGCTCCATGGGATGCCTCCTTTAAACCTGATTTGAGGACAGCTTCACAATATTTGCTTCCATGAGCTCACATGAAATTTTATTTGCATTTACATGATGGTCATTTGTCCATGTGTCTGTTGTATTTCATCCTTTGAAAAATGCCTTTTCATTTACTTTGCCCATTTATTCACTGGGTTATTTGTTTTGTTGTGTTTCAATTCCTTTTTTTTTTTTTTTTTGACAGGCAGAGTGGATAGTGAGAGAGAGAGACAGAGAGAAAGGTCTTCCTTTTGCCGTTGGTTCACCCTCCAATGGCCACCACGGCTGGCACGCTGTGGCTGGCGCACCATGCTAATCCGAAGGCAGGAGCCAGGTGCTTCTCCTGGTCTCCCATGGGGTGCAGGGTCCAAGCACTTGGGCCATCCTCCACTGCCTTCCCGGGCCACAGCAGAGAGCTGGCCTGGAAGAGGGGCAACTGGGAAAGAATCTGGCTCCCCTACCTGGACTAGAACCTGGTGTGCCGGCGCTGCTAGGTGGAGGATTAGCCTATTGAGCTGCAGCACCAGCCTGGTTCAATTTCTTGAGCTCCTTATACGTTTTATGTCTTAATTGGTTATCAGGAGGATAGTTTGTAAATATTTTCTACCATTCAGTCTGATTCCTTTTCTCTTTGTCGAGTGTTTCCTTTGCTGTTCATAAACTTCCTAGCTCAAGCTAACAAGTTTAGAGCTTCTTCTGGGTCTCACATGTGGGTGCAGGGAACCAAGGACTTGGGTGATCTTCTATTGCTTTCCCAGGTACATTAGCAGGGAGCTGGATCTGAAGTGAAGCAGCTCTGTCTCCAACCTATGTGCATATGGGATGCTAGCATCACAGGCAGAGGTTTAACCTGCTACACTAAAATGTTGATGTCATCTATTTGCCTTTTGTAATTCATCCCTTGAAAAATGCCTATTTATGTCCTTTACCCATTTCTTCACTGGATTGATTGTTTTGTGTATACTGAGTTTCATGGGGTCCTTATTACTCCTACATACTAATCCTTTATTAGCTGACTAGTTTGCAGATATTTTCTCCCCTTCTATCAGTTGTTTCTTCATGTTGCTGTTTCCTTTGCTGTTCAAAAGCTCCTTAGTTTGATGTAATCCCATTAGCTTATTTTCCTTTTATTACCTGTATGTCTGGCTTCATAATGACAGAGAACATGGCTTTTAATGTGACAGATTGAAAACAAATCTGCATTGTGCATGTGTGCTACATGCATGCATGTTGACAATAGGCAAATAGGTTTTGGAAGGTTTTCAACATGGAGAAATTTCTGACTCTTTCTCAAATCTTTTATAGGAAATGAATGATGAAGGTGAATGCTACCAATGAAGCACCTATCAACCTGTATGGTATGAAGGAAAAGCATTCTGAGGTGATAAAAAAGGTGTTCCATGGTGCGACACAGAGATTGGAAAGCTGCAGTACATACATAAGATGAAGCATTCAAACAGAACTGAGAAGTAAGATACTGGTGGTCAAGATTGTATAAAGGAAAGTGTGAGTGGTGGCATAGGGTTCCATTGAATTTTGGAAATTTCATGTGAGCTCATGTAAGCAGACACTGGGAAGACTTTCTTTGAAACAGGGAAGATCCAGGCCATGGCTCCAGGACACAAAGAATTAGGAGGTTGTTCCATACAGTGAATGTGTTCAACAGTATTCCTCCTGATGTAAGGGCATCCTGAAATATGCTTGTACTGTATAGATGAGTGAGTGAGAGGATGAAACATTTGAAAGCTGGGGCCGGTTGCTTCCTTTGAGGCAGTTGTACAAGTGCTTGTGTTAAAATGAGAGGATATGTGACTGAATTAATTTCACAAATAGATAAACAGGAAAATGGAGAGTTTTATCTATTTATGTATTGATAGGCTTATTTATTTGATTAGCTAGAAACACATTGGCATTGAATTTTATCTCTGCAGGGCCACCTTGTGCTCCCATTGAGATCCCTTCCATTATTCTTGAATGTTTCAGTTCACCCACTCTTGACTTGGAGCTGTCTACTGCTCTTAAGCCCAGGTCTTTCTTCCTTTCAGTCATGGTCAATACTGCCCTCAGGCATTAGAGGGTGCCTGAGGCAAAGGGTGGATTTGCACATGCCTACAAGACTGCAGTGAATGCACCTAAGGGGGTTGAGGATGGGTCCAAGTGCTCCTTATTGTGGAACCTCTCAGGTCAGCTCCTCCATAATGACATCTGAGGTTCACAGAGACCTACACATCAGCCATAATGAGTACCCCCACATTGATCTTCACACAAAGTCAGGAGCTTCAGCACTGTGAGCACAGGTTTCCCATGAGAGGACAGAGGCAGGAACCATGTCCTGTACAGGAATATGGGTCATGTGCATCAGGAGTGAGAAGCCCCAACCTGCCTTGCTTCTTTGGTGCAGAATATGAGGCTGTGGGGCTTTATGTGTGCTGCTCCCAAGGGCTGAACTGCAGAGGAGCAAAGTGTGTTCATGCCACTGCCCCATGTCAACTCCTCACTGCTCTGCAGCTCAACAGGCCCTACCAGGTTCTATCCCAAGTTGTGAGACCTGGAGAGGAGTGGGGATGGGTGAGTGGAATGTTCCCCTGGGTAATCGTGAGTAGGGAGGATCCTTCTAGCTTCTTCCCCACCTTTTTGGTGAAAGCTAGTAATCCTGCAGTGTAAAATAAATCTAATGTACCTTGTCTCCCTTGGGCTGGAAATTTACATCTTAACTTGCACAGTATATTGTGGAATATTTTTATTCTGGAATAGGAAGTCTTACCTCACTGAGACTCCAGCATTTGAAGAGGGAGTTAATTTGTTTGTTTTCCTTGTTCTTCAACCCTCAGAATCACAATGATATCTTACAGATACAGGAAGACTGTAGGGATGCACTCTGGAATGTCTTACCTAGTAGACCTGGGGGTAGTCATGGCATTCAGCTCCACATGTATTGAGTAGGAGCCTCTTCCCAATTCTGCTTCCTTGTGTTTTTGGATTTCCATTCTTAATTTACTAAAAATTCAAGTTCTTTGATTTGAAGTACCTTTTTCAGTCTTCAAAAAAAAAAACGCATAAGAGTTTCTACCACAAAATATCAATGTCTTTTTAAAAAGTATCATTTGGATTACTTTGCAAAATGTGTTTGAGCAGAAAACCCTAGAATTTTTGCCTGAAGCAACAACAGTCATAGCACAAGAGCCAATGTAATAGGAGAGATTTGTGTGTAGGTCACCATCAAACTAGGGCAATCTAATGTTGGAATCCCAGATAAATGCTGAGTCATGGAGAAGAAAATGAAAACCTCAAATGAGATCATCCCATGACCATGAGAAACCAACACTGTTCTTAAGTGGGGGAAAAGACTGTGATAAGAACACAGGTACTTCACAAGTGAAAAAATCATGCAAGGAGAATTTTCAACTTATCTCACACAGAAAGCAACATAGATAATAAAAATATACTTGAAAAGCCAGTTTATAATTTGATATGTTGGAAACATATAAAAACCTGTGCCCCAGAATTCAAAGATGCCTCTTCCTGTCAGGCACAAATCAAGTGTGAACAAGCCATCAACATGTAATAGACAGTTCAGCATGACTGAATGTGCAGGACACTTGAAATACAAGGGGTACCTGTAGTCTAACCTTGAGGAAGTTCTGTGTCAGTGCCTGTAGAAATGCATGATATTTTTCCTTAGCCTACAAGACTAGTTGCATGCAGGTCTGGAGAAACTATTCAGAGAATATGACCTATTTGGAGTTAGAACTGCTACCAATAGTAATTATTTATTTGAAAATACTTTTCAGATTTCCATATAAAATAGATGGCAGCCATTCAACTTCACTAGGTGCAGTGCCTTTTGATCTACAGTGCTTTGAGGCTCCCCAGTGAGTGATTATGACATCTAAATGTTCTGCATTTTCATGATTCTCCTTCTTTCAGACTCTGAATTTGAGGACATCAGCTGGAGCCCCTCTCTTTTGCCCAGTGTGGCTCTGGGATTTTACCTCTGTCGTGTCATGCACAGTGAGATAAGGACAGGAAGAGTCCCCTCATCTGGCTTTCAGGACTGGACAAAGACATCCCACATTACAGCTGAAGGAGAGTGATACCTCTACTGTAGGAGTACTCTCAAGAACAAGAATTTCTGCTCATATTGGGACACTCCTGTATTCTAAAAATTACCACAGATGAATTTAGGTAAGAAGGGGAGAGAGAAAACTCACATTCATTCAGGTGATCTTCTCAGGTACACAAGAAGGTGGTACACAAAGTGTCAGTTTTGTCCCTATAGATTACATTTTAGGTATTCAACTAATTACCACAACTCAGAAACCATATGATATTTATATTTTTGTGACTGGATAATTTCACTAGACATAATGATTTCCAGTTGCATGGTATTTTGATTGGTTTGCATGGAATCTATAAATTGCATTCAGTAGTATGGATATATTGATGATATTGATTCTTCCAATCCATTAACATGAAATATGTTTCCATTTTTATGCATTCTTCTATTTCTTTCTTTAATGTTTTGTAATTTTCATCATAGACATCTTTAATGTCCTTTTTTATTCCAAGGTATTTAAATTTTTGTAGTTACTGTGAATGGAATTGATCTTAGAAGTTCTTTCTCAGCCGTGGGGCTGTTTGTGTATACAAAGGCTACTGATTTTGTGTGTTGATTGTATATTCTGCAATTTTACCAAACTCTTTTGTGAACTCCAGTCATCTCTTTGTGGAGTATTTTGGGTTCCTTATAGGGATAGTTTGGATTCTTCCTCCCCTATTTCTATCCGTTTGATTTCTTTTTCTTGCCTGATGGCTCTGGCTAACACTTTTAGGACTATATTAAATAGCAAGGGTGCGAGGTGGCAACCTTGTCTGGTTACAGTTCTTAATAGGTATGCATGCAATTTTTCCCCATTCAGTAGGTTATTGGAAGTGGGTTTGTTATAAATTGCTTTGATTATGTTGAGTGTTCCTTCTATATCCAATTGCTCAAGGTTTTCATCATAAAGGGGTGCTGAGTTTTGTCAAAGGCTTTCTCTGCATCTATGGAGATAATGATGTGGTTTTGGATTTCACTTTGTTAATGTGGCATATCACATTTATTGATTTTTGGATGTGGAACCATCCCTGCATACAAGAAATAATCCCCTTTGGTCTAGGAGAATGATCTTTCTGATGTGTTGTTGGATTCGGGTGGCTAGTATTTTGCCTACGTTTATTGTGTCTATGTACATCAGGTTATTGATCTACAGTTATTTTTCAAATTGGTGCACAAAATCTAATTCAGTTTATTAGCCCATGAATTACTAGTGATAGTAATTAGCATAACTGCAGAAAAACATTTAATAAAATGAACAGAGATCTGTGATTTGTAAACAAAGAACTAAAACAACCCAATAAATGCAAAAAAGAATGCTTTTGTGCCCTAAAGGGTATATTAAGATTGCTTAAGAAATGTGGAAATTGTGAGAAGGTTGGAAACAAAGTTGAAGCAAGAATGCTGTACACTACAACTTGTGCTAGAGGCCCTCAGGGGGCTCTGCTCTGTGCATATTATTTTTTAAAAATTATTCTTTAATTCATTTGAAAAACAGAGTTACAGGGAGGCAGAGAAACAGAGAGAGGAGTCTCCATATGCTGGTTTATTCCCCCAGATGGCCGCAATGGCTGGAACTCTGCAAATTTGAAGCCAGGAGCATCTTCTGGGTCTCTCAGGCAGATGCAAGGACACAAGTGCTTGGGCCATCTTTCACTGCTTCCCAGACCATAGCAGAGAGCTGGAATGGAAGCAGAACAGTTAATACTGGAACCAGCACCTATATTTGATACCGATGCCATAGAGAGTGGGTTAATCTACTGTGCCACTGCTCTGACCCCTGATCCTCTTCTGTTCCACCTCTCTGCTGATGGCCTGGAAAACCAGTGGAGGACAGGCCAAGAGGTTGAGCCCCTTTACCCACTTGGGAGATTGGGAAGAAACCCCTGACTCCTGGCTATATATTGGCTCATCTCTGGCTGTTGTGGCCATGTAGGGTGTGAACCAGCAGATGGAAGTGTTCCCACTGTCTCCATGTCATTCTCCCTCTATCTGTAACATCTTGATCGAAACAAATTAAATCAATCTCTTGATCAATAATCTTTCATTACAAATAGTGTGAGCCTTGGGCAGTTTTTAGGCTATGAGAGTAGGGAGCGAATCACACCATTAAAGTAATGGCTGAGGGACACTGCTATCTAGTGTTGAAAGAGAAGATGCAGCAAGAATCTGCCATGTACAAAGGCAGAGTAGCCATCACGATGCATGGAATCCTCTAGATCATCACTTCCTGAACTCAAGAAACCATGGACAGTGAAGTTATGGTGTTACAAATGACACAGACTAAAGTATTGTTTGAAGCATCATGAATAGGTTCAAAGAATTGGTCTTAGGGCTTCGTTAGGAGAAAAATACAATATACACAACAGTGTGTAATATAAAATTGGGGTATGAAATAATAGCAACCTGTCTCACATGAGGAAGATGGGCATAATTAATTGCAAGTAATTTCTGTATCATCTCTTCAAAAAGAGAAAAGGATAAGTTGCCTAATCAACTCTGTCAGTTATTCTAGAAGGTCCTTGTGAATCAGAAATAACTGAACGTGGGATGATGTTAGTGTAGGTCTTTCACCCGATATGGACAAGTTAGTGAAGTGTCCAAATCACCAGTATGCCAACACAGAGTGAGACCAGTGCTTCCACAAAAAAGTGACCTTTCTGTCGTTTGAAGATCCTCTGGGGATGACCCTGGTCTGCACAGCTCTGTGCTGCTCTGTGCTCACCACTGCGGTTCTTGGGGTCTTTGTGAAGCACCGAGACACTCCCATAGTCAAGGCCAACAATCGTTGTCTCACCTACATCCTGCTCATTGCTCTCATCTTCTGCTTACTCTGTTTGCTGTTCACTGGTTGTCCCAACACAACCAGCAGTGTCCTCCAGCAGACCACATTAGGATTGGTGTTCACCATGGCTGTTTCCACTGTCCTGGCCAAAATTACAACTGTGGTTCTGGCCTTCAAGGTCATGGCCCCAGGGAGAAGGATGAGACAGTAGCTGCTATCAGGGGCACCTAACTCCATTATTCCCATCTGCTTCCTGAGCCAACTGGCTCTCTGTGCCATCTGGCTTAGGACTTCTCCTCCCTTTGTCAACACAGATGCTCACTCTGAGCATGGCCACATCATCCTGGTGTGCAAGAAGGGCTCAATCACTGCCTTCTATTGTGTCCTGGGTTTCCTGTTCTCCTTAGCCCTGGCCAGCTTCACTGTGGCTTTCCTAGCCAGGAATCTGCCTGACAAGTTCAATGAAGCCAAATTACTGACATTCAGCATGCTGGTGTTTTGCAGTGTCTGGGTGACCTTCCTGCCTGTCTACCAGAGCACCAAGGGGAAGGTCATGGTGGCTGTGGAGGTCTTCTCCATCTTGGCCTCCAGTGCGGGGCTCCTGGGCTGCATCTTCATCCCCAAGTGCTACATTATTCTCTTCAGACCTGAGAAGAATGCTTTGAAAGTACTAAGAGATAGAATAGTGTCCAAGGAAACATGTTTTATCAGGAGTGGCTCTTAAGACTCTCTCAGTTTTCAATGGTTAGAAACTAAAATTTATAAAACCGATTTTGCATTCTGATGTTATAAGATAACTTGCAGAATGTAGCCTCCTTATGAACAATTTATACTTCACTTAATGCATTTTTGTTCTGAAACACTGATTCACAGAATCAGTGTTAGAGTGGGGGAAACTTTCTATCTGGTGATAGACTGTGAAGATATCTGCAGTGGCCCAGTGCTGGTTCATACCAAAGCCAAGAGATTAATTCAGCTGTCCATGTGAGACTCGGGGACTTAGGCCATCTTCTGCTGCATTTTCTGGATCATAAACCGTGAACTGGATTGTAAGTGGAAGAGCCAGGATATGAACTGGCACCCACATGGGATGGTAGGGTTACAGGTGGTGATTATATCCACTACACCCCCACACTGGCCCCAATCCTCCTCTCTTCTTAAAAATAATACTGTGTAAAAATCTTAGTCTGGGTTTTATGTTCACACACAAAAACCCATCTCAGATAGAGGCCCTCCTTTAAAGTTTCATTTATGTATTTTCATTTTTAACTGGTCAACATTGTAATATTCATATTTGAATAAAATAAGTTTATTCCAAGGTATTTGATTATTTTTGTGGCTATTGTGAATGGGATTGATCTTAGCAGTTCTTTCTCAGCCTTGGCATTGCCTCTGTATACAAAGGCTGTTGGTTTTTGTGCACTGATTTTATATCCTGCTACTTTGCCAAACTCTTCAATGAGTTCCAATTCTCTTAGTAGAGTTCTTCCAAAGTTTTTTCCCTTTAATTTCTTTGTCTTGCCTAATGGCTCTGGCTAAAACTTCCAGTACTATGTTGAATAGCATTGGTGAGAGTGGATATCTCTGTCTGGTACCAGATCTCAGTGGAAATGCTTCCAACATTTCCCTATTCAATAGGATGCTGGCCGTGGGTTTTTCATAAATTGCTTTGAGTATATTGAGGAATGTTCCTTCTATACCCTGTTTACTTACAGTTCTCATCATGAAAGGGTATTGTATTTTATTGAATGATTTCTCTGCATCTATTGAGATAATCATATGGTTTTTCTTCTGCAGTCTGTTAATGTGGTGAATCACATTGATTGATTTGTGAATGTTGAACCATCCCTGCAGACCAGGAATAAATCCCACTTGGTCTGGGTGGATGATTTTTCTGATGTGTTGTTGCATTCTATTGGCCAGAATTTTATTGAGGATTTTTGCATCTATGTTCATCAGAGATATTGGTCTGTAATTGTCTTTCAATGCTGCATCTTTTTCTGAGTTAGGGATTAAGGTGATGCTGGCTTCATAGAAAGAAATTGGGAGGATTCCCTCTTTTTAGATTGTTCTGAATAGTTTGAGAAGAATTGGAGTTAGTTCTTCCTTAAATGTCTGATAGAAAAAAAATAAGTTATACATTCATTTGCTGTTTTTATTCATTCATTAGAGTCTAAATTCAGCTTTATAACAGAGCATTTTCAGTGCAACCATTAGACATGTTAAATCATTTTAGTGTGTATAATGCATTGTCCAGAAACTGATTAACTGTCTATCATTTCACATAGTTTTGAATTGATGTAATAATTACACACCAAGTTTTCACTATATGTAGGTAGAAGGATTCTGCAAACTTCTTTTCCATCTTTTCATTTCTGTTTTTTATTGACTTTGGCTTTAGATTTGCCTTCGCCAATATCAGGTAAAAAAAAAGTAATTTTTACATCTTGACCTGAAAATAATTCAGCAGAAAGTGACAATTTTAAAGTGAACTAATGACATTTAGACCTTTCACACTCTTTCACAACCATCATCTATGTCATATTTTAAAGTATTTTCATCACTACAAATCAAGCTCCTTATCCATTAATGGTCACTCTCCATTCCTTCTCTTGCCAGTCTCACAACCACTAATCTCTTTCTGTTTGCATGGATTAAATGGTCCTAAGTGTTTTGTATAAGTTAAATATTGGACTCTGTGGATTTAGATGACCTTTACTTTTACATGGTGTTTTCAAGGAGCATCCACATTATGCAGGAATCTACATTTTTCATGGCAAACTGATAATTCATTGTATTAATCCCATTAGTTTTGTGTCTCTAGTTAACCATTTACTGACATGTGCGTTGTTTTCAACTTTGGTTATTTGCAGAAAAACACTGATGTACAAGAGATGTTTGCATATTTTCTAATTTTTAGTGTACCCTAGATGTGGAATGTTTTGTTCCTAGAGGAATTTTATGTTCAATTTGCTAAGGAGGTGACATACCATTGGTGTTGTAACTTTCTCACTATCATGATTTTGAAGGTTCCAAATTCCCCATGGCATCTCCATCACATGAACAATTTTGAAATTTATTGTAGCCCTGGAGTAGATGTGATGTGGAGTCTCCTTCTGGTGTGGAATGGTTTCTCCATATTTATTACTGGTTAGTGTCCTTTGTAATGCCCTCTGGTCATATTTATCTGTGCAGAAATGTCCATCATACCCTATTCCCATTGTTCATGGATTACTTATATTTTGTTGTTACTTCTCCTTTTCTAAAAATATATTTTGTTGTGTGTAAGTTACTCAATGTGTTTATATTTCAAATTTTAGTTGAGGTATACAAATCTCATGAACTTCATATATATATGAACTTCGTATATATCTCTGTGAGGAACACAGAGATACTTCTCACCTAACCCTCCCTCCTGTCCAGAATCTCATGGTTTTCTTTTTCTCTCTCTTATTCCTACTCTGATTTTTGCAAAGAACTATTTTCTAGTTTACTTTATTCTCATGAGATTTACCCTACTGTGTGTGGAGTGTTCTACAAATTGTATGAAGAAAACAACACTATTTCTCCAAAAAATAGACAAAGGCTATAAACAAACATGGAATCTCAAATTATCAATTTCACTCAAATACATTACATTTTAAGTACTTGTTATAACAGAGAAGAGAACACATATAGTACATATCTTTTTTGATACCGGCTTATTTCTCTTAGTATCATGATTTCCAGTTGCATCAATGTTGCAAAATCAAGAATTGTTTGCTGCTTATTAATATTACTGGAGTATATATATATCATAGTTTATTTATCCAGTCATCAGTTGATGGATATCTGGGTTGATTCTATATCTTAGCTATTTTAAATCAAGTTGCAATGAACATGGGAGTACAGATGACCATTTTGCATGATGATTTCATTTTATTTTGGTAAATTCCTAGGAGTCAGTTGGCTGGGTCATGTATCAGATCTATTTTCAGTCTTGGAGATTTCCTTTCTGTCTTCCACAAAGACTGCAACAGTTCATATTCCCACCAACTGTGGATTAGTGTAGTTTTTCCCCCAAATCCTCTCCCACATAGGTTGGTTGTTGATTTTTCTATGAGAGCCATTCTGATGGGAGAGGTGAAACATGACTGTGGTTTTGATTTCATTTCCCTGATGGCTAGTGGTCCTGAGCATGTTTTCAAGTACCTTTCGCCATTTCAGTTTCTTTCTTTTTTTTAAAATATGCATCGAAGCCATTTCCAATTACTTACTATATGTTTAGTTTGTTGTTTTTGAGTTCCTTTGAGTCTTACAGGGAACTGGATCAGATGTGGAGCAACCAGGACTCGAGCTGTTAATATAAGGGATGCCAGTACTGCAGGTGGAAACTTAACATACTACACCACAGCTCAGCTCCAGTTTTCATTATTCTTAAAAGATAAATGAAGAAGCACCAGATTCTCCACTGATTTGTATCACATTTTGAAAGCCTTTTTCCCAATTGAGGCATTTAAATTGCAAATGTCCCCTGCTTGAATCTAGCTCCAGCAAGTC